CTCGTCTGACCACCGGAGTTAAGCAACGTCGAGGCTGGCCAGTACCTAAGTATAGGAAATGGCGAGCAGAAGATCGAATAGAATATATTTCCTAGTGGGATGACAGTGGGAGTTATGGTTATGGTGGTGGTGATGATGATGATGATGATGATAATCATCATAATGATGGTGGCGGTGATGATGGTTATGGCAATAAGGATGATGGCGATGACGGCGGTGGTGATGATGATGGTGGTGGTAATGATAATGAAGACGGTGGTGGTGATGATAATGATGATGATGGTGATGATGACGACGATGATGCTGGTGATAATAGTGGTGGTGATGAGGATGATGACAGTGGCAGTGGTGGTGGTGTTGATGATGACAACGATGATGATGACAACGATGATGATGGTGGTTATGATGATGATGATGATGGTAGTAGTGGTGGTAATAATGATGATGATGATGATGATGGTTGATGGTGGTGGTTGTGATGATGACGGTGGTGGTTATGATGATGTTGCTGCTGATAGTGGTGGTGGCGATGATGATCATGATGACGGTGGTGGTTGTGATGATGATGGTGGTTGTAATGATGATGGTGATGATGATGATGGTGGTTGTGATGATGATGATGGTGGTGATGATGATGAAACGACAAAATAAAATCAGTATAACAGCAAATAATTATGTAAGAAGTTAAAACGTGAAGTTAATGAGAAATGATATCGCAGCAAAGTGATCGAAAATGGCCAAGTCAAGATATTATTTCGACCTCCAAAAAGACCGCACCCTTGAGACCACCAAACCAAACATCACCGTCGTTAAAAAACAAAAAAACAAAAAAAAAATACAGAAGGAAATGCCTCCTCATCAATGTGATTGTTTGTCTCTGAGCTGACCATAATATCAAGGCCAAAGTAATTGGAAAGTCTATAGTACTAAACTTTGTAGAGCTTAAAATATATACTGACCTTCGGACTGAGGTTGCCTGAGGGCGGAACTTTCAGGCCATTATTGTCCGAGTTATCACCGGAGTGTTTATGATTTCTATCATTGAACCAAGGAGTTTCTGGTTTTAATCTTAATAACATTTAGAAGCACATGGCCGCAAATTAAAAACTGCAACAATTGTTTGCTTTGGTTTGTTTTACGGCATATCAACCACAATGGGTTATTTAATGCCAACAATTTTTATTGCTGATAATATGTTTTTCTTCAAAAATCTATTTCTAGGAATATTTCTCCTTGAAGAAATCTATAGCTGGTCATATTTTTCCAAAGAATGTGCAGCTGTTTGTATTGCTGGTATCTTTTTTAAAGTATTGCTGATAATATTTCCTTCAAAAATGATTGCTGGTAATAATTTTTTTTATTACAATGTATTGCTGGTATTAAAACCTATTTTTACACAAGTTTGCGTGTTAACTATTTGCCCATAGCTAGGATACCACCCCGGGTCAGGGTAGACCTGGGAACACCAGCAATTAAAAGGTGGTTCCACGCTCCTCAAAGCATCCTGATCAGAGGCCTTTGCTGTTGGATGTAGTTTATCGTCTTACCCAGGACGCGGGTGTAGTTTATCGTCTTACCCAGGACGCGGGTGTAGTTTATCGTCTTACCCAGGACGCGGGTGTAGTTTATCGTCTTACCCAGGACGCGGGTGTAGTTTATCGTCTTACCCAGGACGAGCAACAATTGTCATAGAAACGTATGCAAAGATCACAGTAATCTTCTGGTATATTCGTTGGAATCTGAGATAGAAACAATTGAAGAAGAGCGAATGCAGGACAATTTCCTCAAAGATGAAGAGAAAACTGGCAGCAACAGAGATGTGGTCCCACAGAAAGATGCATGAGAATATTATGGGCGTGGCACGTAAGCAACGATGAAGTTTTAAGGAAAATGGAAAGAAAAAGAGCACTTAGAACCAGAACCAGAAAGGACTGAAAATTCTTGAATACATAACGAGGAAAGAGGACTTGGAGAATCTGACACTCATGCGACATGTCGACGGCAAAATGGGCGCGAGAAGGCAGCGGGCCATCTACCTGACCAGCTTTCGTGAACAGATAGCGAAGCGGGGATTCAAGAGAAATGGTAAAAAGACGAACGTTACAAAGAGCTAAAAAAGATAGGAAGTTGTGGAGGACTATCACTGGACACGTCCTGAAGGTAGGCGACACGTAGAAGAGGTAGTAGTAGCAATAATAACAACTCATTATAAATCATTTAGTTGTAACACGAAACTGATAAGCCGCTTATCGCTAGTGAAGAAAGGTAAAAAAAAAAAAACCAACTTAAAATGATACCGGTTTTCTTATCTCATGAAAATCATGAAAACCTGATGAATAGAATTTAAATACTGGACGACTTTTTAAGAAGGTTGATGCTTAAAATATTCGTCAAAGATAACAGAAAATAACCAATGAGGATAGATTTGCGTAAGTCCCGACAAATTATTCAATTAGCAACATGACTCACAGCGTTACTGTACAAATCATTAACTTCACTTTGACCCAAGGAGATTAATTTGCGTTTAATAACTTATACAAAAAAATAAGATTTATTTTTTAGTAAAAAAACGCATTTTTTATTTATTTATTTTATTTTATTTTATTTTTTTTTTTTAGGGTGTTTCTAGAAATGTCCTCTGTCTGACCAAAAAGCCCTTTCTCAGCAAACATTCTAATGTTTCATCATTCGGTCAGCTTCGGGAAAGTGAATCAGTCGATAACTTTTCATCACACACGGTAAATAGGGTTAGTAAGATGGGCGTTGTGCGGTAATGCGAATCGTTCACAAATGCCCTTGGGGAAAGGTATGGATCCATCTCTTGGACTGAATATGGCTTGAATAGCAGGATGGACTGGGTCCTTGATTGTCAACCAGTTCTACCGAAAAAAAATGGCAACCTGTTGCTGGATAATCTTCTGTCTAGTCAGTCATGAATCGAAAGAGACATAATCGGCCAAAAGCGTCTATTACGTATGGCAATTAACCGACGAACAGACTGATAATGATGATGGATTGAGAGACAGAATTTGGAGAAGGAAGAGAGAGAGAAAGATACAGAGAAAAAAATGCAATGAGATTAATCGAAAAGGTGACATTAAATAGGAAATAGAATTACTATATATATATATATATATATATATATATATATATATATATATATATATATAACTGGTTCACTGTGTTGGCCCCTGGTCACACTCTGTATTTCATCTGAAGGTTCTGGAGGCGCTTTACATCAGGTCCCGCAAGCCTTCTTTGTGCAAACAACGTGAGTGTTTGCTGGGACTCATGTCATCTGCCTCTAGTTCCTTCTTGCATATATACAGATATATATATATATATATATATATATATATATATATATATATATATATATATATATATATATATATATATATATATATTTTTTCCACCTATTCTTTCTTATTGTACATTTCTCTGTTTTAATTTTGAATCTCCCGTGGAAGCCTGAAGAGCAGGAGCAGAAACCGGTTGCTTCCCCCACCCTTGTTGTTGTGTTTTTTTTTTTATTATTTAATATTGTTTTAATATGTCTTGTAATATTAAATTTTTTTACTTTTTATTTTGTACCTACAAAAATATATATATAATTTATATATATATATATATATATATATATATATATATATATATATATATATATATATATATATATATATATATATATATATATATATATATATATAGAGAGAGAGAGAGGAGGGGGGAGAAATGGGCTAATGAATTTTTTCATTTATTAATCCGGTATATTTTAATTTATTGCTTAAACGTTTAAACCAGTGGTTTACCGATAGACCAATTTTGCTCTTAATTTTGGGGGGTTTAACCCCTGCCCTCATAAACATTCGATGAAAAAAAAAAACAACTTATAATAGATCAGTCTAGGAATTGTATTATAGAAATAGTAAATACATATGCTTTATTTTGAAGTAAAACTGATTTAATGAAAATAAACTTGCATTTAACAACTAAATTCGATGGCACATTCAAGTCAGTTATGCGCGACACACGCTTAAGCGACACATGACTGGCGAGGTAGACTTTTTCCTTTCGGCGGTAGACCAATTGTCATCCGAGATCAGTCCTGTAAATAGATCGAAAGAAGAGGATGTATTCCTATCTCAAGGGTATTAACACGTAAAGGATTTGATTGTAATTCGAACTCGCTTCTCAAACTCATCAATCCGAACTCCTATCCATTACTCCGCCGTGACTCCCTGTGTGCGTCCACAAGTAAAATAACTCATAATGAATAACCTTATGGTTGATGCTGCTCTGCGATTATTTCTTTTTTTTTTATATTCGGATCCATCGATGACAATTATGGCTAAAGATCGCTCCTTTTGATAATGTCAAGTCTATGACTAAATTAATTCATATTAATATATTAATATTTTATTTTATTAATATTCAAAATTAATGTTATTATCTATTATTAATATATTAAATTACTTTATATAATAAATTATAATTTTTAAGTATATATATATATATATATATATATATATATATATATATATATAATCTTTCCTTTACATATAATTCTGTTTTTTTATTCAATTCTTACAATCGAAACATCCGATGAAGTAAAATGGACGCAGAATTGACAATCCTTGATAAACCCAGTCAGAATTCAAGCGTACTATATATATGATATATATATATATATATGTGTGTGTGTGTGTGTGTGTACATATATATATATATATATTTGCACAAAAATTATCATATGTTATTAGATATAGGCATTTGTACCTAAGACGTGTTTATAATACATTCATACCCTACACACACATATGAGCACATACAGATTTGTACAAAGGTAAGTCAATGTCTGGAGACGATTGATAAAAAAAACGCACAGTTAATCCAACGCTTCTCCGATAATGACATAGATTCAGCATTACGTAGGGGAAATTTCATATGAAAATTCAGTTAATAACTACGTGTCAATGGGCGAATTTCCTGATCCACCCTCATTTTTGAAAAAATATAGATGTAAAAAGCAGTATTTTTGCATAATCATGTTCACAGCGCAAGCTGTGCACAGATTTAGATAGATAGATAGATAGATAGATAGATAGATGACGAGACTGCGATAGATAGATAGATAGATAGATAGATAGATAGATAGATAAGAAGAGACTGAGATAGATAGATAAAACGAGACTGAGATAGATAGATAGAAAGAAAGATAGATATGACGAGACTGAGATAGATAGATAGATAGATAGATAGATAAGAAGAGACTGAGATAGATAGATAGATAGATAGATAGTATCACTTTAAATGTTATATCAGTGGATTTTCATATTTGAGCATTTATTAAACATTTTATTTATTTCCAACTACCGTCCTGAACATTCGGCAGAATTCGAACCTGCGTCCCCGCTTGGCAGGCGAAACCCTCGTTAGATCCGACTTTGCTCTAGACCGACTCAACCACGTAGTGCGTCGCCGATCAAGCAAGGTCGAATAATGCATTATAAATGCAAATCCTTTTCGGATTCTCGAAAGTTCATATCTACTCTGTTGCATATCGGAACGTAAAGAAAGCCACTTGGCTTTGCTTGATTGGCGACGCACTCCCTGGCTGTTCGAACAATGGTATTAATACATTATTTACATTATTTGGACTATTGACTTCATCTTTGTCGCCATATTTATTACAACGTTTCGACCGTTGTACGCTCCGGCCTTCTTCAGTTGGTTGGAATTTCGAACTGAACCCTTTGTTTCGCTCACTGGGGTAGACTGTCCTAGTTCCACGTGCCATGTTTGATGGATGTCAGTTATCAGTCATCGCCTGCAAGGACACATGGCACAATGGTTGAAAGGCGTTGGTTAGATCCAGTAACAGGACCCAAAGAATGTGAGTTCAATACCTGGTTAAGGCAGTGGAAAACTTTCAGAGGGAAATTAGCAAGAGATAACTAATAACTGACATCCATTAAACATGGCACGTGGAACTAGAACAGTCTACCCCAGCGAGCGAAATAAAGGGTTCAGTTCGACATTCCAACCACCTGAAGAAGGCCGGAGCGTAAAACGGCCGAAACGTTGTGATAAATATGGTGACAAAGATGAGGACAATAGTCCGAATAATGTAAATAATGACTCAATTTATTTAGGTTAACGTTTTAGTTTTGCAGCAATAGTCCAAATAATGTTAATAATGTACATAATACCTCATCGCAGAAATATAGACAGATACTGAAAGGCCGAAACGTTGTAATAAATATGGCGACAAAGATGAGAACAATAGTCAGAATAATGTAAATAGTGTATATAATACCTCATCTCAGAAATATAGACAGATACTGAAAGGCCGGAACGTTGTAATAAATATGGCAACAAAGATGAGGACAATAGTCCGAATAATGTAAATAGTGTACATAATACCTCATCTCAGAAATATAGACAGATACTGAAAGGCCAGAACGTTGTAATAAATATGGCAACAAAGATGAGGACAATAGTCCGAATAATGTAAATAGTGTACATAATACCTCATCTCAGAAATATAGACAGATACTGAAAGGCCGGAACGTTGTAATAAATATGGCGTCAAAGATGAGGACAATAGTCCGAATAATGTAAATAGTGTACATAATACCTCATCTCAGAAATATAGACAGATACTGAAAGGCCGGAACGTTGTAATAAATATGGCGACAAAGATGAGGACAATAGTCCGAATAATGTAAATAATGTACATAATACTTCATCTCAGAAATATAGACAGACTCTGAATGGTATTGATGTTCCGGATCGATGGTATAAACACTAATAGACCAGATAGAATCATAAAGGACTTCAAAATGAAAACCTGCTAACTAATACGAAAGTAAGAAAAAATATGGTTAACTTAAAACTACGGCTATCCCTGTTGTGATAGGGACGTTGGGTATGATAAAGAAGGGTACCGAAAATCGTGTAAGGTACCTGGACCCATCATGAACTTTTCACTCATAGACCACGGGAGGGGGGGGACTTGATAATTAGACATTTAAAATTACTCTCTGGCAAGATAATACTACACCCATAAATAACTCGACGTTGCTTAACTTCGGTGATCGTACGGGAACCTATGTTTCAACGTGATGCGGCTGTAAGCACGACTGAATAATTTATGAGGCATTATTATTATAATTATCATTGTTAAAAATATATTTCTAAACATAACTTGAAGAAAACAAACATACTGTTGAAATATTTTTAAGAATATACATAGAGAAGAAATCAACTGAAGAAGGCCGTAGCGTACAACGGACGAAACGTCTTGAATATGGCAAAAAAGATTAGGATAACAGTCTCTATACTGGTCACTATACAGATCACTATTCGGTGATTACTATTTGAGCGAGTATTATCGAGCAAGTACTATTAGTACGAGTGATATTCGAAGGCGTCTGACACCAGAATTGTTCAACGGCGTTACTATAGTTGTATCTGCGATTACAGAGTCTCTACTACAACGAGCATAACGAAAGTGACAACGAGTATTCGTTGACATTACAAAAATGACAACGAGCGTTCGGTGACATCATAAAACAATTACCAAATTACTAAAATATGTGAACCAACTATAAGGAAATCCTTATTATTTAGCATTTTATAAAGTTCGAATCAGTTGAGCCGATGTTTTGCCTACGATTCCAATAAATCAATATAATAAATAAATAGTGTAAATTAAACAATCTAATAAATAGTATTTATCAATCAGCGCTTTTTAAAAGAATAAGCATTGCCGAGGGGTGAAGGTAGTTAAAATAATAGCGGTGTCAAGGGAAAAGCCGTCCTTTTGAGACTCATCTTTTTTTTGGGGGGGGGGTCGGTTCGACACGAAGGTCGATGTTATTCAAAAAGAGATATAGATAGAATCGAAATTGGGACGCAGTGTAGAGATTTAAGGAGACGTAAATGTGTTAGGAAGAAAAAGAGAGTGATGTGTGTGTGTGTGTGTGTGTGTGTGTGTGTGTGTGTGTGTGTGTGTGTGTGTGTGTGTGTGTGTAGTATAGTAGATAAGAGATAATCTTACGACTCGTGACTCGATGTCCTGAAAACGTTGCATTGATATTAAAGTAAGAATTCGAGTCGGCAGAATTGTAGTCTATCTTTCATTCATTATCTTTATTTTCATTCAAACACACACACACACACACACACACACACACACACACACATCACATTTCTCACCCACACAAGACAGACATGCTTAAGGAGGAATGGAGGCCTCACACTTATACACTCACCCACACGATTATACACACGTACACACACCATACTCACTCACTCCCTAATGAGCCAAATGATAACACACACCTACAGCAATACACACGCTTACACATATCATACTCACTCACTCCCTAAGAACCAAATAACACACACACAAACACTAAACAGAGACACATCCCCTCACCAGGTCCAATAAAACTGTCAAACTGACCAGAGAATTCAGGATAAAATGTATCTATCCAGTTCTTATCTCAAATAACAACTTAAAAGAGACTGTTTGACCAACATAAGGAATGTTAAAAGATTCATGTGAAGATAAAAAAATAAAAAAACAAATGAAAACTACAGACAAAAGTTCATTTTCTCCAACAAAAGACATTCATTTCTGTAGTTCCTTGCCAACAGCAAGCAGAAATATTTCGCCTCCCGATGATGGCCATTTCGGTCGAAACTAGTCGAGGAATCTAAATGGAATAATAATAATAATAATAATAAAACGAAAGAATATTAATCTACAACCCAGTGTGTCTAATGATTTTAATTTTTTAATTTTTAATTTTCTTATTGTTCAAAATATATATATATATATATATAAAGAATGTATTATATATATATATATATATATATAAAATGTATTATATATATATATATATATATATATATATATATATATATATATATATATATAAATAATATATATATATATATATATATATATATATATATATATATATATAAATATATATATATATATATATATATATATATATATATATATATATATATATATATATATATATATATATATATTTTCAATAATGGTGCAATCAATTTACAAATTCATGAATTATTCATACAAAAAAACAAATACAAAGGTTAATGATTTAATTGGCGAACAAATCCATCGTCGCGAACAATTCAAATAATATATAAAAACCCCGAATCTGTTTATGAATTTGTTTAGAAACAAGGATCTTTTCATTCATAAACAGATTCGGGGTTTTTGTATCTTATTTGAATTGTTCGCGATGATGGTTTCTCATAATTAAATCATTAACCTTTGTATTTGTTTTTTGTATGAATAATTCATGACTATTTATATATATATATATATATATATATATATATATATATATATATATAATATAATGTATTAGAACAAAATGAATAAAAAGAGGAAAACTATTCTTAGTTCTTTTGAGGGTGTTTATCAAGGAAAGTCCCTCAAGAGACAAACGCGACGGCTAATAATAGTTTTTTCTTGTCTTTTATTAATATATATACATAATGGGAATGCATATATATATATATATATATATATATAGATAGATAGATAGATAGATAGATAGATAGATAGATAGATAGATACTGCTACTCTTCCTTATCTTCTCCCATTCCTTTACAGTAGTCTTCTCTCGCTCTCTCTTCCCTCTCTCTCAACAAGGAAGGAAGGAAGGAAGGAAGGAAGGAAATTAAAAAAAAATTAAATATCGGTTATAGGATTTATTTACCAACCCAAATGGTCAAAATTACTACTCGGCATCCACTGTGACGTAATCCGTATGCGCGTCCAATACGGAATGACTACCCAAGTTCGCAATTTATAGAGGGGAAACCTGAATTTCCGCAATTTCATCTTCTAGTGCCGCAGACATCAGGTCATGCTCATTTCGCTACTACACTTAGTCCAATAGAGAACTAATGTCCAAGAAATAAATACACGGAAGGCCAACTATAGTTTTTTTTCTATTGCTTTCTCGGCCATAAAGCAAGAAGTGAAAACGTTGCCAATTCCGAAACTTTACTCACGTGATTACTAGCTCATTAACCATTACCCACCCCGAGGTTTTCAAAAATCCAAGACGTTCAGTGTATAATATTTAATTGTTCCTATCATGATACTATATAATGTATGTTAAGCTGTGTTATAAGAAACTTTGTCAGGGGTTCGTGATTCGTGGGAAGAAGCTGTTCGTTTGGAACTTCCTCTTCATTTCACGCCAAGCAAGGTAATAAAGCCACTAAGACGTAAGGAGTTACTGACTATTAGAGATTATTATAAACAAAAAACACTATTAAGGAAAGAGAACAATAAAAGAGTAAGAATTAAGAAGACAGAAGATAGTGATTAACATTGCATTGACATTTTTGAAAATCAAAGTACACGGGAAAGCAAGAAGCCGGAAGAGAGTTCCACAAGCAAGAAGTGCGAGAGAAGAAACTGTTAGCATAGAACTTACGGTTACATCTATCCATTTCAAATGATGAATGAAAGTATTTATAAATTAATGTACAGGGAAGCTATATTACGGTGATGGGAAAATGACTGAACTCGAGTTGCGGTTTCAGGACCAATAGTATTGCAGATTCTTCTTTGGATTTTATCAAGAATCCCTAAATGTATAACAGGAGTACCAGACCAGATGTGGCAGCAATACTCAAAGCAAGAACGAACGACAGGCTTACAAGTGATAAAAATTGAGCACCTCGAGACAGTGTAACGGTTAGCAAGGTTCTCTCGCTAGAACAATTACGACTTAGTAGTGAGTTCGATCCTCACTGGGTACCCCCATACTTTCGGCCTTGTACCACGTCTAAGCTGCGCTTGGAAAATCACTACAAGTGATTAATATCTTCCCCAAAGGTATTAACACGTAAGTGAATGTAATGGATTCGACTGGAATTCGAACTCGGCTCTCCGATTTCTCAATCCGAGGCCGCTATCCACTATACACACACACACACACACACACACACATATATATAAATACACACGCACGCACACACATACATATATATAAATACACACACACACACACACACACACAGAGTAACAGATATTTTCTAAAGAATTACTGGATTTTATCAATTAATCCGACATACATTTATTACTTTAGACTTTACTTTTAGTGGACGCCCATGTTTGAGTAGACGCCCATGTTTTAGTAGACGCTAAGTTTTTTTTCAACAGTATTCTATTTCGTCTACTTGCCTGAAAATTCGAGAAATCTTATTAAAGAAAATGAACCCTCCGGCAGGATTCGAACCTGCATCTCCCTTTGCAGGAGAAACCGTCGTTATATCCGACGTATTTTCACCACTCGGCTTACTAAAAGCTTCATAGTTAAGCAAAGATCCAAACGGTTATTTATACCTCGCACTCCACCTAAATATTCCTCACCGCAAAACAGTACACGTGTCTCCTGCAACTACTTACGAAATCATCGTTCGAGAAGTCAAGCCATGTTGATATCTATAAATATGTATGTGTGTGCGCGCGCGCGCGCGTGTGTGTGTGTGGTTATATGAATGCAAAAGTGTACAACACGATACGTCCAAAGCCTGCGTGTTCTCATTCTGGATTACTCGCCTCGTTTTCAATGTGGGAATCTATAAGTGGAGGTATTTCAAGAAAGATATTGACATATCGACAAATGGTGGATTTTAAAGAGAGAAAATATCGGTCGGTCGATCTAGAAGTGGGACAAGCTTCGATTTTATCTGCTGCGCGCTGAAATAATAGTACTGCTGAAAAGTTCTCGACCTCACCAATATCCCAAAATTTATCCAGATGATCAAACCATCGTTTATCCGAGAGGTCTAAAACAAGTTTGAGTCTAACGACGGTTTCATCTCGCCATGGTGGGGATGCAGGTTTGAATCCAGCCGTAGAGTGCATATTTTTCTTTAATAAGATCTCTCGAATATTCAGACCGGTAGACGAAAATAAGTAAATATCCTGTTGAATAAATAAACGGTCCGTCACCCAAGTGTGGGTACCCACTTATAAAAACGTTTAAGTAATAAAATCTGTCGAATTAAGAAATTAAAATGCATTACTTCTTTATATATATATATATATATATATATATATATATATATATATGAAGAAAAAAATATACGGAAAAAACAAACAAAATCCATATATACAATTATGCTGTTTTAATGTTAATATGTCAACGTCGGACGTTTCGGTCTAATAAACCATCTTCAGGACATATTCATAAATTATAACATTATCAATACAACATGACAAAGACGGTGTACATAAGAACAAGACTTATCAAACAAATAACTAAAAAGTTTTATAAGATCAGCGCTCCGTTTAAAACATGGTCACGTTGTCGTCACGTGGGCGACGCTGTGAAATAAGTCTTGTTCTTTATGTACATCGTTGGATAAATGTCTTTTCTTCGTCCTGAAGATGGCTTATTAAACCGAAACGTCCGACGTTGACATATTAACATTAAAACAGCATAATTGTATATAGATTTTGTTTGTTTTTTCCATATATTTTTCTTCATACTGTCTATCCAATATATATATATATATATATATATATATGTGTGTGTGTGTGTGTGTGTGTGTGTGTGTGTGTGTGTGTGCGTGTTTCATTAAAAGGACAGACTAGGTACTACGGTGAAGCTTTTTATTTAATTTTTCTTGTATTCTAAAAAGAGCTTTCTTTTCTGGACAAAGGGTGTGTAAGAACTGTCCAAATGTTTTATATTTCCGAGTGCTTTCGGCTATACCTTTAGCCATTATCAAGGATGATTCGATTTTTCAGCTTAATTGAGTGTGTGCGTTCTGTGTATGTCTTAGTGTGTGGTAGGGATGTTTTTAATTTCCGAATACGGTTAACACATTGTGACTAAAAGTCGCACATGGATCAGTTATATAACTTTTAGTTAATAAGTGCGACATTACTGTAATTATTGAACAATATAGTTCATGCAACTTTGACAGTAAAATTTACCAGTAAAAAATTTGTTCAACACCATATTTGGTATAAACGCAAACATTTAAAAAAATTTAAAATCAAACTCAGCGTTGCTTTGGCGCGTTCAAAACCAATAATTCATTTTCAATAGCATTTCGGATACAATAACACATATATTTTCGATGTCCTCTTATTACTAAGAGAAAAAAACAAGAACAACATCTATTATATACCTGAAGATGTCTGTAGGAATAGACGAAAGCTTGTAGTAAAATAACAACTAATACGGCAGAAATTTATATAAACAAGGATCAATTCATTCATAACGGATCTGGAGGTTTTTTGTGTACTATTTGAATTGTTTGCGATGATGGATGTCTCGCCATTTAAATCATTAACCTTTGCATTAGTTTTGTGTGAATAATTCATGTATATATATATATATATATATATATATATATATATATATATATATATATATATATATGTAAGCAAATATATGGATATAGATCCGACAGTATGAAGAAAAATATACGGAAAAATCAAACAAAAATCCTAATATGCAATTATGCTGATTTAATGTTAATATAATGTCAACGTCGGACGTTTCGGTCTAGTAGACCATCTTCAGGACATATTCTTAAAACATAATATTAGACTATATTTAATTCAACATGAAAAGACGATGGGCATAAGAGTAAGACTAATCAAAGCAGACAACTGAAATTTTTCAAGATCAGCGTTCCATTTCAATATGATCACGTCGGCGTCACGTGGGCAATGTTGTGAAAACGTGTTCCTAAAATTTGAGTATTTTGAATGAAAAATGAAAAGAATTTTATTTTAATCTAAAACTTATATGTACGTTTGTCGAGCATTAACCTTGCTAGAAAAGGGGAAATATTAAAGAAGCCAGGTCTAGCATTCACCGTGCGTGAGATAAATATTATACCTGCCTCTTACTCTTATGTCCATCGTCTTTTCATGTTGAATTAAATATAGTCTAATGTTAATTATGTTTTATGAATATGTCCTGAAGATGGTCTATTAGACCGAAAACGTCCGACGTTGACATTATATTAACATTAAAACAGCATAATTGCATATTAGGATTTTTTGTTTGTTTTACCGTATATTTTCTTATATATATATATATATATATATATATATATATATATATATATATGTATGTATAATTATTAAAGAGAAACAAAAAGTATTGGGGGAACCAATGGACAGCTTGCCAAAATCTAAACTCTTATCCAGATACAATCTCGAATAAAGACGGCAATTGTAAAAAAAAAAGAAAGAGAAGAAAAGGCCTAACAGCAAACTTACCAACTCAGAAAAGTGCTCGAAGCCTAGATTGCCTAGACCGAGCAAAAAACGATTACCAATGTTAAATCCTATGAAAGGACGGACTTCGTCGTGACAAGACCACTTGAACGGCCTTCCTTACATAAACACACACACGCAGACTGTGATGCGCCGACCATTTTTTAATCTTTTACGAGTTTCAAGTCTCCAACCAAACAATTCGGGCATTAAATCCAGCGTTACACAGTCTTAACGTTTTACACGTAAGGGATTTCCCGTCGATGGTATTTTCAGCAAAGGATTAATTGAAAAACAAAAAGGTGTGTCAGGGACTGTTTCCTGGTTATATAAGCAATTAAAACAGGCTATGATTGATGGCGCTTCTCTTAATATGAATAATGGATAATTGGCTCAATGGGAAACGGCGCAATGAACTCGTGCTAACCCGTGTTGATCGATAAAAAAATTATCGATAAAGGGAAGAGGCAGGTAATTCTAAAGATTAACTTTGTTTGATAAAAGGTAAACTCCATACAAAAGACTTACAAAGCTTAATCGCTAACCGACGGACGATAACGGAAAGTCCGACGTAACGAATTCACCAGATAGATAGATAGATAGATAGATAGATAGATAGATAGATAGATAGATAGATAGATCATGAACAGACTAGGATTGATATATAGATTATAAACAAACTAAGATAGATCATGAACAGACTAGGATAGATAGATAGATAGATATTAACCGACCGAGATAGATAGATAGATAGATAGATAGATAGATAGATAGATATGAACAGACTGAGATAGATAGATATGAACAGACTGAGATAGATAGATAGATAGATAGATAGATAGATAGATAGATAGATAGATAGATAGATAGATAGATTTGAACAGGCTGAGATAGATAGATAGATAGATTTGAACAGGCTGAGATAGATAGATAGATAGATAGATAGATTTGAACAGGCTGAGATAGATAGATAGATAGATAGATAGATAGATAGATAGATCAAAGAAAGAAAGGAAGGGAGAAAAAAGAAAGAAGAAAAAAAGAAGGACATTTACAAAACTGTTACTGTCACTCCCCAGTAGATGGTAGGATATGTCTAAAATTCAAAAATGTCTAGCAGTATGATTGAGCTCTGACAGTCGAAAGCAATTCTTTTATAAGCTAAAGACTGTACATCAAATTTTGTTTCCCGTTTCAAGTGTCCTTTGCGCTTTTATATCCATTTTATCTCAACGTTTTTTGGGGTTTTTTTTTTGTTTTTTGCTTGTCTCTTAAATTCTTCAAGACGTCGTTTTCCTTCGGCATTTTTCTTCTATTTTATTTTGATTTATTCCATTTGTCAGTTTCATAGACGTTTTTCGCCAACATGATTATCCTTCCGTTATTTTGCGGTGTTAATCTTAAGCTCAATCATGAATACTGAAAAACCCCGATTGGTCCTATTTCCAGTTCACATAAGATCAAACCCTATCATCTCTTGATTATTAGTCATTATACAGTTTCATTTATGTCATACGCTAATCCAAAATGCTTATAGGCGAGGCATCCGAATGAGACTGTCCATATCGCAAAATCTAACCAGTATATGCCAGAAGGACTTAATATCAATGATGAGTCTCACAAAGCGATTTTTAATAAACAAGACAAGATAGATCATACGCTTGTGTAGTGAACGAGTGTCTCACGTGTGCTCTGCACTTTGTTCCTTATCTGTTTAAGCAGTTTGGCTAAAAACAACGGTTTTCGAAGTAGAAATTGTTTACGAGTTTAAACAGTCATAATTCTTCATGAATGTTTGAGCCCAGGTTAAAAACCAATATTTTGGAGTTGGAAAAAGTCACATAATTCTCATGGGTGTTTGAGCCTAAGTTAAAAACCAATATTTCGAAATTTAATTATTTCTGTCTTGAAACGGTCAAATATTTCTCATGGGTCTTTGAGCTTAGGTTATAAACCAATATTTCGAAATTAAATTGTTCTCATGGGTATTTGAGCCTAGGTTATAAACCAATATTTCGAAATTAAATTGTTTCCGTCTTGAAACAGTTACATAATTCTCCTGGGTGCTTGAGCCAAGGTTATAAATCAATATTTCGAAATTAAATTATTTCTGTCTTGAAACAGTCACATAATTCTCCTGGGTGCTTGAGCCAAGGTTAAAAACCAATATTTCGAAATTAAATTGTTTCCGTCTTGAAACAGTTACATAATTCTCCTGGGTGCTTGAGCCAAGGTTAAAAACCAATATTTCGAAATTAAATTATTTCTGTCTTGAAACAGTCACATAATTCTCCTGGGTGCTTGAGCCAAGGTTAAAAACCAATATTTCGAAATTAAATTATTTCTGTCTTGAAACAGTTACATAATTCTCCTGGGTGCTTGAGCCAAGGTTATAAACCAATATTTCGAAATTAAATTGTTTCCGCCTTGAAACGGTCATATGTTTCTCCTGTGCTTTTGAGCCTAGATTAAGAACCAATATTTCTAAGTTAAATCATTTCGGTGTTGAAACAATCATATGTTTTTCATGGATGTTTGAGCCTACTTTAAAAAAATAGAATTTTTCAATAGCAATTGTTTCCGAAGTTGCAACAGTCATTTAATTTGTTAAGACTGTTTAAATCCGAGGTTAAAACTTAGAATTTCGATGTAGAAACATTTTTGAGGTTGAAAGAAATATTTCTCAAATGTGTTTGAGCTCAGCTAAAGGTACTAAGTATGAAAGCTCACTAAAACTGATCCCGACTCACGGTCTTTTCGTTCCATGCAGGAAACCCTCCTTGATTAACCATGTCTTCAGGGGTGCAAACGAAATCCCCACGGTTCGCTAATTGCAGGTTAATGATGCTATTTAACTCATAGATGAAGGTTTTGAATTCAGAGTTGCCTTTCACCTATACCAGTTGCCATCCATGCTGCTAGGTGGTAAGGGAATCGATTCATACCTTTCTTGAGGGTATTTGCACGTAAAGCGAATGTGAAGAACTCGACAGGAATTCTAAGACTATCCATTCCTCCATCGTGCCGCCTCTGAGATCAGATCATGACTTAAAATTTCATTTGAGAAATAGTTTCGGATTCAAAGCAGTCACATATTTCTCTAGCTTTATTCGAGCTCCTGTAAAAACTTTGATATAGAAATATTTCCGGAAATACAGAAACGCTCAACTATTTCTCGGGGTTGTTTGAGCCCAGGTAAAAATCCAGAACTTCAAATACTGATTTTCTAGGCAAGCGTGTCCTTACCATTTGTAAAAGTTGGTGCAGCATCATCTTCCTTTACTGTTTTACCGTTCTACACGAGAAAAGCGCTGTCTTTCACACACACACACACACACACACACACACATATATATATATGTGTGTGTGTGTGTGTCCACATATATAATAAATTCCAATAACCAACAATTATTATTCTTAAAAAGTGCTCAATATAGAGTAGAGCAGATATAATTATTTATTTAAAATTATAACATAAATATGTTATAAAATCACTACAAAATAGCCATTTTGTTTCAACACCTCTGTGTGTGTGTTGAATGTAGAATAAAGGGTTTTAAAATGTTCAAATTAATTAACACCCCTCGTAAGGGGTTAACGCTTGACCAATCAAAAGTCAAAATACAAGTATACGAGAGTTATATGAAGAAATATACTCTTAAGGTGTGTGCTATTTCATGGGATAATGTGTTCAATATCAGAGATAGAGGCGTATGTAAATATAAAATTTGACATTCAAGTCAGACACTTAGAGGCGACAGGCTGTTTCCTGCTAGACGCAATCGTCAGGCCTGTCGCCTCTAAGAAATAAATTAAAATGGAGACAGAGAGAGACAGATATCTGGATGCAATAAAAAACAGAGAGGGGTTTGTCTGGATTCATCTGGATGCTAAACACTAAAGAAATTTTCACACAAAACAAAATGGTTTTAATTCATCACGGCTTGAGGTTAACACTAAGTGAACATGCCATTTTCGGACAGAAAAAAATGTGGTCAATAGCCACAAACCGAACGCAAGTGGATTACGTTAAAGATTGCGAAAATACATGATGCTCATTATAAACGTCGTTATTCTGACAATAAAAGATCCACCCTAAGATGTCAGGCAGTCCTTCTAACGACGATGAGGGTTATTTGAAAATTTTACAGACAAGTCATTTTTACTTTTTTTTTTATTTTTTTTTTTTTTTTATTTCTTTCCGTTTCCTTTCTTTCTTTTACCTTCTTTTTGTTTGCTTCTTTCTTTTCCTTCCCTCTTTATTTCTTTTTCTTTCTTTTCCTTTTCTTTCTTATTTTCTTTCTTTTCCTTTCTTTCTTTCTTTCTTTTTTTCTTTCTTTTCCTTTTTCTTCTTTTTTTCTTTCTTTCTTTCTTTCTTTTTCTTTTCTTTTTTTCTTTTTCTTTCTTTTCCTTTCTTCCTTCTTTTCTTTCTTTTCTTTCTTTCTTTCTTTCTTTCTTTCTTTCTTTTCCTTTCTTTCTTTCTTTTTCTTTTCTTTCTTTCTTTCTTTCTTTCCTTTCTTTATTTCTTTCTTTCTTTATTTCTTTCTTTATTTCTTTTTCTTTTTTCTTTTCTTTTTCCTTTCTTTCTTTTTCTTTTTTCTTTCTTTCTTTCTTTTTCTTTTCTTTCTTTTTCTTTTTTTCTTTCTTTCTTTCTTTTTTCTTTCTTTTCTTTCTTTTTTCTTTATTTCTTTCTTTTTCTTTCTTTCTTTTCCTTTCTTTCTTTCTTTCTTTTTTTTTTTTTCTTTCTTTTTCTTTATTTCTTTCTTTTTCTTTTCTTTATTTCTTTCTTTCTTTTCTTTCTTTTTCTTTTTTCTTTCTTTCTTTCTTTTTTCTTTCTTTCTTTTTCTTTTCTTTCTTTTATTTCTTTTTCTTTCTTTCTTTCTTTTTTCTTTCTTTTTTCCTTTTCTTTCATTCTTTTCTTTCTTTCTTTTCCTTTCTTTCTTTTTTCTTTTTTCTTTTCTTTCTTTTTTCTTTTCTTTCTCTTTCTTTCTTTCTTTCTTTCTTTTTTCTTTTCTTTCTTTCTTTCTTTTTTCTTTTCTTTCTTTCTTTCTTTTTTCTTTTCTTTCTTTTCTTTCTTTTCTTTCTTTCTTTCTTTCTTTCTTTCTTTCTTTTCTTTTCTTTCTTTTCTTTCTTTTCTTTCTTTCTTTCTTTCTTTCTTTTCTTTCTTTCTTTTTATTTCTTTTCTTTCTTTCTTTCTTTCTTTCTTTCTTTTTCTTTTCCTTTTCTTTCTTTTCCTTTCTTTCAATTATTTTCTTTCTTCCTTTCTTTCTTTTCCTTTCTTTCTTTCTTTCTTTCTTTTCTTCTTTCTTTTCCTTTCTTTCTTTCATTCAACTTTCGTTCTTCTTTTTTCTTTCTTTCTTTCCTTTTTTCTTTCTTTTTTTTTCGTTTTCATTTTTTTTTCTTTCATTTTTCTTTTCTTTTCTTTCTTTCACCTTTTTTCAAATACATTTTCTTTTCTTTCTTTCTCCCGTCAACTCATTCTTTCTTTCCTTTTTCCAGTCATTACTTTCTTTCTTTTTCTTATATTATTGCATCCATTTCTTTATTTCTTCCGTATTTTCCTTTTTTCTTCCATTCTTTTCTTTCATGTTCTTTTCTTTTTTATCTTCTTTCAAAACATTTATTTCTGTCTTTCATTACTTTTTTTTCTTATATTCTTCCTATTTTTTTTTCTTTTTTTCCTTTTTTTCTTTTTTTTTCTTCCAGTTCTTTTTTTTTTTTCCTTTCTTTTATTTCTTTTTCCATTTCTTTTTTTTTTTTTTTTGTTTTTTCCTATTTCTTTTTTTTTTTTTATATTTCATTCGTCAACTCTTTTTCTTATTTCTTCACATTCATTTCTTTCTTTCATTCCTTATTTCTTTTCCCCATCCACCCATTTCTTTCTCTCTGTCTTTCTCTCTGTCTTTCTTTCTTTCTTTCTTTCTTTCTTTCTTTCTTTCTTTTTTCTTCCCATTCATTCATCTCTTTCATTCTTTATTTCTTGTCTTTTTCCCATCTACCCATTTCTTTCTTTCTCTCTGTCTTTCATTCTCTGTTTCTTTCATTCATTCGTTCTTTCTTTCTTTCTTTCTTTTTTTCTTTCTTTCTTTCTTTCTTTCTTCAGGTACATTTCTTTTCTTTTTTTCACCCTTTTTTTCTTTCCTTTTTCTCCCGGCCTTTTCGTTTACTATTCTTTATTCTTCCTTTCTTTTTTTCCTTGCCTTCTTATTGATTTGTAAACATTTTCCTTCATTTCTTGTTTTCTTCTTTCTTTTCATATCTTTTTCTAGATATCTAACTTAATCTGACACAGCGACACTATAGTGGACCACAGACTTCAGAATCTAACCCACTATCACTTACTAAGACCAACCTCTATTAACAATCACTCTACGACAAGCGCCTGTTGTTCAATTGCTGCTTCTATCCTCCTCGTTCTTTTCTTTTCTTTTTTTTTCTTATTCTTCTTCATTCTTTCCGTCTTTGTCTTCTCCCTTTTGTTCATCTTTACTTTCTTCATCTGAAATACGATAGTTCGAAGTTGTGATAAATTGTCAATCTCCGCCAGTACTCGTCAGGAGATTTCTATATGAAAGCGAGAAGAAAGGACTAACTATTAGCAAATAATAAGACCAAATGTAAAATCGTTAGAAAGTGAAGCAATCCCAGACCCCAGAATCAAGCAAGCACAAAAATTCAACTATCGGAGAAGTCTTATAACAGACGACGAAAAATGTGTCACCGAAATCCGAAGTCGCATTTGGGATAGCGAAATATGCCTTCCAAAACCTAAGCATTGTATTAAGAAACAAGAACATTTCGGTAGAAACAAAGAAATGTGCGATCAGTCCTTCTATATGGCAGTTGAATGCTTGGCAATTTCCTCACAGTTGAAGACAAGACTTGAGACAACATAATTGTAGTTCTACAGAAGGATGCTGAGAATACTATGGACGTAACATGTGAGTAACGAGGTAGTTTAAAGGAAACTCGAAACAAAATCTACACTTGAACTCAGAATCAGAAAAAAACATTTCTGAGTTACATAATGAGGAAAGGAGACTTGGAGAATTTAACACTCACAGGATATATGGAAGGCAAAGGGGAAAGAGAAAGAAGATCATCGAGTAACCTACTTAAAGAACTTGTGTAAAAGGAGGCACAGTGTGGGCTAGGAGGGTTAACAACCCCATACACTTTACTTAAAGCTACCAAGGGTAGGTAGTTTGGGGGAGACAGGATTACCTATGACCTGAATTTACATGTGTATATATATATATATATATATATATATATATGTGTGTGTGTGTGTGTGTGTGTGTGTGTGTGTGTGTGTGTGTGTTTTGTATATCTGCGTAAATCCGTAATTTAGGCTACAAATATGCATTTCCCGCCATATAATACGCATCAGCTATCAATGCGCACCTATAATTTGGTGATGAATTCTTACAAGGAGAATGCTGTATTTCTTCCGGTGGGGTGGGGGCAAGGGTCAATACATACATCGTTGTATAAGCCCCGGGGGTTGAGGTCTGATTGATTGATTTTTTTTCCGGCTTATTAAATATTTGCAGGTTATTTAAAGCCAGAAAGTATTTTTAGATTGTAAGATTTTTTGGGAAGATAATAATGATTTACTGATACAAGCTTTACTAATTAACCCGTAGCTTGAGGGAAGTGATGGATTTATACCTTTCCCGAGGCTATTTGCGTGTAAGTGAATATATCGAACCCGGCTGGAGTTGGAACTCGGCTCTATGATTTCCAATTCCGATCCATTATCCATTGCACCACCTGCACATCCAAGCTTGCAGCACCTGGTGTTCCCAAGTGGTCATCCATCTAAGTACAGACATTGCTTAATTTCGGTGATTGGACAATAAACGATGTTTCAACGTAATATAGCCGTAAGCCTCGTGTTGTCAGAGTAGCCATCAATCAGTTAAGTTCCATACATGATACACGCTTGTGCGACCATATCACTTTCGATAGGTGACTCCCTAAGCAAAAGATTTTCCCGCGGTAGGTTGTCGTTTCTTTCTGCGGTAAACTGGTTGCCAGTCAAGTCTATAGGACATAATCCGCCCTGCTATTTGACCCATAGCTTGTGGGGAGAGAAGAGATAGATTCATGTTTCCCAAGGGTATTTGAGTGTAAGTAAATGTAACGAACACGCCTGGAATTTGAACTCGGATCACCAGTCCTATATCCATTTCCCCACAACGCACATGAAGGTGGCCTTACAGGTTCCAACAAGACTCAACTCCCTCCCACTTGATTGACGTGAGCCAAGAGAATTTTCACGATCATTTTACCCCCAACACGTGATCTCCTTGCTCTCCTTGCTCTCCTTGCTTGAATCACATGGAGTAATATGTTGGGCGTCGTCGACAGGCAAAAGAACCAGAAGTTCAACAATACGAAGTTCTTGTTGAATGTCAACTGTTTGCTCGCCTTGCTGTTTCCAAACTGAAGGCGATTTTATGCAATAAGCTTTCAGCTTTCTTAAGTTGATTGCATATGTAGACATTTTTTTTTGTAGCTATACTAATTTTTCTATTGAATTTTTAACATTTCTCTTTGTATCTTATTATTATTATTATTATTATTATTATTATTATTATTATTATTATTATTCGATTTTTATCGTAATTTAACCAGTCATGAACATTTCATTTTTTAACTATACTGATGTTTCAATGAAATATCTTTGCTTTTCTTTATATTATAATTTTATCTCGATTATCTGGCGAACCCTGTACATATATGTAATTGTATATATTAACAAAATAGACTGATTGTTTTACATTCGCCTATCGTCTCGTTTACACCCCTCCCCAGTCTTTTGAACAGGAGTAAAGGTTTATCCCTTGTTTCGCTGTTTAGGATTGGGTTCCCAGTTCCGTCCAAAGTCTTTTCATTCTTTTTCACTCCCTGTAGCCCTTGCGTCTTAGTGGCATTATCGCCTTGCATGGGGTAAATTGATTAAAAAATATATAATTTTTCTCAAACATATCCTGTATATATAATATACAGTAGTATATATTAACAAAATCGACAGTTTTTTTTTATTGAATATCTGTTTTTCTTTATATCATCATTTGTTCTCAATTACCTGGTGCACCTGTATATGAAATAGATAATCTATATCTATAAAACAGGGGATGTGTGTGTGTGTGTCTGTGTGATGCCTTTTCACTCGGGACTCATCCAACCAATTTTGGCCTAACTTGACACATACATTGTACAATGTAACAGATAGGAACATCGATAAAACATCGATAATTTTTTAAAAAATCAATAATCGATAAAGCCGATCAAATATCGATGAATTCAACTTTTTTCCTCCGATTTCGTTCAAAATCGGTATGTAGGTTACTTACATCATGATGAGCTCAACGATACCTCATTTTGATTTCTACTACGTTTAGCGAAAAACTTAAAATTGATTTCAACACAAATTTTAAACTAAAAACTCCCTCAATTTTCATGTAATCGAATAAAAAATTCACTCAATTGTCGCCAACAATAAGTTGATGCTTAGCAGTCATTTAACTTGATAACTGAATCCACCCATATAGTGAAAACCCGCGTAAATAGCGAAATATGGCGATTTTTACTGGTTTCTTTCTTATTTTTCGTTAATCTTTCAACAAATTTTCATCAAACTTAACAATTGCTTTATAAATGTATCCTCTTTTACATCCCAGGTAGCACACTGACAAATTGAATTTCAAAAACTCCAAAATAATTTGTGGTCTGAAGTGAGTCTTCATGTTGCCTGTTTTACCCCTTCATGTCCTCGGCTAACTTCGATTGAATAAATACAGACTACTTCCGTTATATCAGTAACTGTATTAATTCAAAATGTTTGTTTTCTTAATGAAAGTACTTTAAAGTAATTGAAGAATATAGACTTTGTTACATCTAAACATGATACTGTTTTCGCTCCATTCTAATTGAACGCTTTTTCTGATCAACCAGTTGGATATGGCTGCTAGTATAAACAAAATCGATTGATTTTTATGTTGACTATCTTTGTTTCTCTTTACATTATAATTTTTCTCAATTATCCATTTTTTTATTTATTAATATCATTTAGGACATCATCAGAAAACAAACGTATGCAGCAACACCAGACAAATTAACTAAAGGGATCTATGATTAGAATACAACAATGATACTTTTGAATAAATAACTTTGAATTTCTCAATTCACTTCATGGAACTTCAAAACCTCACTTTGATTCGGGCTATAAGTTCAATTCCAGGCGAAAGTTCGGACACTGATTTGCGCCGAAATTCCAATTCAGGCCGAAAATTGAGTTCTTCAAATAACAAAATTTAAAGAATTTTAAAACCTCAGGACACAAAACGTCTCTCTTTGACTCCTTAATTCCTTGGCATTTTGAAGAAAACGTAGCTTCTCTGCACCTTTTCTGTAAATATTTTAATGGTAATTCTTCTGATGAACTTTCCTCTATGGTAGCTAGAATTTAAGTGCAGTACTAGATTGGAAGCATAGTCTCATCATTTTAGAGATGAAATGCCTAGATGTAACCGTAAGTTCTATGCTAACAGTTTCTTCTCTCGTACTTCTCGCTTGTGGAACTCTCTTCCGGTTTCTTGCTTCCCAGTCAATTTTGATCTTCAAAAATTTAAATGCAATGTCAATCGTTATCTTCTTTCTTCTTAATTCTTGTTATTTTATCGTTCCCTCTCCTTAATAGAATATTTCTCATATTCTCTAACACTCAGTAACCCTTTGCGTCTTAGTGGCTTTATTGCCATGTTTGGGGTGAAATGATTAAAAACAAAATGTACTGTAGCTATAGCTGCAGTGGGTGTGTCAGTGTAAGATAGCTTGAAGGGGTCCATCTTTCTTCAGACTGGTTTTGAATTCTGCTTTGGTCGTTGGTCAAATAATGGTTAAAATATGAACAAGGACTGTTGAACTTCATTAAGGGAAAGAGAATGTTGCATTTGTTTCATTGCATGTGTGAGAAATAAAGAGAACACGCAACGACAATATTTCCGTTTGTGTATATGTCAATATATATATATATATATATATATATATATTTTTTTTATATATATATATATTTTTTTTTTTAACATTTGGAAGTAAAGTCTGATGATCCAGAGCCCTTTAAAAGGGCTGTGGTGAAATAATTTATTACATGGAACCTTAAAGTGGTCTGTATTTTTCAAAATATATATATATATATATATATATATATATATATATATATATATATATATATATCCCCAAGTATATAATTGGTATATACGGAATGAATTCCAATAACCAACAATTACTATTCTTAAAAGAGTGCTCAATACAAAGTAGAGCAGATATAATTATTTTTCTAAAAAAATTATAACATAAGTATGTTATAAAATCACTACAAAATAGCCATTTTGTTTCAACACACTCAGTGTCTTATCAAGTGATGATGTTGAAATATTTTTTTCTTCAACATCATCACTTATAAATACTTATGTTATATTTTTAGAAATAATAA